CACTATTAATGACCATAAGGGCTCCATTAAAGGGCCATTGGGGGGTCCTGGTAGGGTTAGGGCTTAGGGAGGGTTTGTGGTGACGGGTTCGCAAGCCGAGCCCGAAACCCTGAAGTCAAGAAAAGCCGAAGCCCTGCCGCCCAAGACCAAAACAACCCCTTACCTACCAGGACCCTTGGGTTCAGGATTTAGGGTTTAGGGTTTCGGGTTTAGGGTGTAGGGTTTAGGGGTTAGGGTTTAGGGGTTCTAATGGCTACCAGAACCCTCCTTGTACCCTCAAATAGGGGTACAGGGTCCTAAATAAGGGGCAATTAGGGTCCAATAGAGGGTAGATGGAGGGTCTAGGTAGAGCAGCCAATGTACAACTTGGGGGTACGTATACAGTTATCTTCTTTAAGGTACCTTCGTTACTCTAGGCAGCCTTAAGGCAAGCATCCCAGTCCCATAATCAAAAGTCCTACTCCCGAAGCCTTTCGTCACCCAGAGACTCTGAGCCCTCACGAATCAAAGCTTAAATCGGCATCTAACAACATCTACTGGTCTAATAATAGTCTGATAGTCTAATGAGATCTAACAGTATCCAATAATAGCTTATAGTATGTATACTATATAATATCTGTATAATGGTCGAAAAACGCAGGGGCCTTAAACCCGAACTGAGAAGGCTAATCATGCAGGGGCCTATCATTATCTGAACATCGTTTTGGTGCATGTTGTGGTATATGATCTCCTAAACCCTAAACCTTGTAAGCCCGAAGATAGACCTTAAACCGCAAGGAACCTAAACCCCCGGCAACCCCGCATTGGCCTGTTGCGTGAGCTCTGTCTCGACTCCTTCGTGCTCATACGCTTTCTGACGAATTTGCAACTGCTGGGAGAAATGCTTGTTCCTTAAACTGATTGTGTCAGGGTTGTTTCAGCTTTGACGTTAAATATGTTCGAAGTAGTAGTTCTGGTATTTTCATGGAGTCTCTGTGAGAGTACTTTGAGGCTTACTTGCTTTGTTTATGGCTTTCAAAAGGTCTGGAGCGATGTTGCAAGGTACTGCGTTTGGGCTCTCAGGCTTGGTTTAGGGTTTAGGGTTTAGGGTTATTGGGTTCAGGGTTATTGGGTCTACCGTCTACCTTAACCCCAATGATCGCACCACTAAGTTAAGTAATCAGGAAACCACAATGAAGAACCCTTGAAAGAAGGGTTGTTTGGGGTCCAGGTAAAGGTTCGGCTCTGGGAATTAAGGTCTTGAGTTTTGGGCATAGAGCTCATAACTTCAAGATTACGTTTGAGATTTGGGTCTTATGATGGAGGGGCCTTTGTGTTTGGGATAGAACTTAGATGTATGTTCTAGTGTAGATTTGGGCATCGGGTTTACAGCTTCAGAAATGAGACAAGATTCTTCAAACTATGCTCGGGATCAGAGTTTGCCAAGCGTAGGATAGGCGGTGTGGCTTTAAAACAACTTTGCCACATGCGAGCAGAGTATGTCAAAAGGTAATTCCGCTGGGCCTGGATGCACCCCAAAAGGCTTGACACCTACATGCTTACGACGGTGCGGAACAGTAGCAGTCATCCGAAACCCCCAAGACTCAAGACCCATAACTCTGACCCCCAGCTAAAACCCCAAACCATAAAGCCCTAAACCCCAGGAACGTATAAGCAGTTGAACACAGAATCCCCCCAAAACCCCAAACCCAACATCCCATAGCATTAGATCCGAAAGCTCCTCCAGCACGGAAGATGCCAGCGCTGCCCTCAGTGGACAGTACGCCCTGTCCGAATGTGCGCACCTGGAGCTTTGAGCTTAAGCTCCAAAGTTATATGGGTGGTTGTCAATTTTACGGTCCCTTTTTGGGCGTACGCCACCTACTGTTTAGGGTGCCAAAAAGGAACCACAGTTTTGACAACCACCCATATGGTTTAGGAGTTGGGGGTTTAGGGGGCTGCCATTTAGTTTGATGGGCTTGTGTAAATAAAGGCTTCCAGGGTTTAGAGTTTAGAGCTTACGTGCTCAGTGCTTTCTGGGCAAGCGTCTCTTGCCGCTGAGTTTGAAGGCTTGTGAGGTTTGGGGCTTGTTTACGGTTTCTCAACTCCCTAAGGCTCTTTGAAACCTGAAGTACGAAGGAGATTCCGCAGAGGGATGAGGACATCGCAAGACCAGTCACAAGGCCTCCGAATCGCGCTCTCACTTTCTCCCTCCCTCCTGCCTCTCTCTCTTTCTCTCTCTGCCTCTCTCTCTCTCTCTCTCTATATCTCTCTCTCTCTCTCTCTGTGTCTCTCATTTAGACTCTCCCCATCTATCTATTTCTATCTCTATCTCTGTCTCTCCCTCTACCTCTACTTCTACCTCGTCTATAGCTCTAGCTCTAGCTCTAGCTCCAGCTCCAGCTCCAGCTCTAGCTCTAGCTCCAGCTCTAGCTCGCTCTAGCTCGCTCTAGCTCTGTCTCTCTGTCTCTCTGTCTCTCTGTCTCTCTGTCTCTCTGTCTCTCTCTCTGTCTCTCTCTCTGTCTCTCTCTCTCTCTCTCTCTCTCTCTCTCTCTTTCATTATATCCTTGCATCTCCCGGTTCGGCACCTCCAGTGATACATACGTAAATATGCATACATTATGCTGGGTTCTCGTTCCACTCGTTTCTTATTTCTGTATCCAGCCATACGTACTCAGTATAATCTAAGCTGTATACTCTTGCATTCAGACAGGTAGACAGACCGACGGACGGACAAACCGGGAGAGAGAGAGAGAGAGAGAGCTGTATATACATATCTAGGTAGATAGATAACTAGTCAAGCAGATATAGCATGATATAAAGACAGATAGACAGATAGGCAGATAGATACATAGACAGATAGACAATAGACAAAGCTGTAGATAGAAAAGTAAAGCGGATCAGCTAGAAAGATATGGCTAGACAGACAGGGAGACACGGACACAAATACAGGGAGAAAGGACGAGGACAGGTCAGCTTCTTTGCGTGTTTGTGCTGTATATGTAAGCGTGGATACACGAGTACAAATGATGTATGTAAGCACAGATAAAACCCAAAGGGTCCAAGTATCATTATAGTGTATACTTAGACCCCCAAAATACCCTATAAGTATGTACCATAGCAAAAAAACCCTTCGGGAAAATATGGACAACAAGAATCCACTTCACAACTCACGCTCTCCAACATTGAGCTGAGGCATTTAAAACCACTGCAATTAGCTTCGGACAATCAGGGTAGCAATGCTACGGAACCCCAAACCTCCAGGGCTCTGAACCCTAAAACTACACTAATTGCCCGGCACCCCTAAGTAGGAAACTAAAAAACACCCTGAATTTGAGAATGTTCCATATTCCACAAATCATAAGAATACGACCTGCAGATGCCAAGCGCGTCTTCTTCACGTAGGTAAACCCTGGATTCCGAAGTTCAAACCTTATATCCTTGCAGGGAATACTGAACCCCGCGGGTCCAAGTACCTAATATTCATATACTCTCCAAAATCCTAACCTACATAGCTACCATCCTAAAACCAAGTACCCAATTATTGGATCCTTTGGACCCTTGGGAATACTGATGTAGGAACCTGACTAAGAAACCTTGGGACTTTATTTAGGTTCCTTATATGAATCCTTCTAGTTGGGGGTTATAGGCCCAAGGTTTCTTAATCAGGTTCCTACATTAAGGAACCTTAGGGGAACCCCTCAGGATCCCACCTCCGGCTTGCCCTCGGGCTTGTCCCATGACACGAAGGACAGCTGCTCGGCTGTAGCCTCGGGGCTCACCTGACTTCTCACCCAGACCCCCGAGAGGATCCAAAAAGTAGTAGTATAGGGCCCCAAATTAGGGGATCTACTTGGGCATGAGATTCTGCGCCGACCAATACCTAGCGCGCATTGTGGATTGTGCAGATTGCTGCTGATGCAGCTACTGTGGCTCACAGAGCTACACGTTGAAGGAAGATTAGGCAAGGCATACCGTCTTTTCAAGAAAGGGTATGAACCCATAAGACCGAAATTCTTCAGACTTACCTGTCATTTCTTTGCGATCGTTCAAAAGGAGTGCGTCGTTCTGATCATGGCCAACCCATCAGCTGATTCACGCCTAGGATGCCCAGTAACCTAGGAAGAAAAAGTGCTCCCTTTTTGGTATTGATAGGGAACCTAGGACTACAGAAAGGGAGTAAGGGTACTACTGGGCATCCTAGTTGAGTAATTAGGTATGTAGGAATTACCACCTATTTTTGGGTCCGGGCTGGGGCTCACTGTGAAGTCCTACGAAATCCTTGGACTTTGGCCTAAACTCATCGAAGCATCGACCCCCCCCCAGTACTGCCTTCAATTAAGCGTCAGGCAAACAGCCCGACATCCGAAATCCCAAACCCCTAAACCAAAACCTTGAACCTCCTTCGCCCTAAACCCCAATCTCAAAAGAAGAAACCTAAAGGCCCTAAACCCGTTTAACATCACAAATGCAGGGCGGGAGTAGTCACCAACACGCTTCCTCTGGGTTCCTTGATATGATTACACCTATACGATTTGGCTGTAATATGCCCCGAACCCCTGTTACGATTTTTGAATTGGGGACGCTACAGTTACCGGGGACCCTAAACCCTAGACTCTTCATAACAAGCCTATATGAAGCCTTAGAAGAGCCTAAGCCCTTAAATCAAAACCGTAAACCGTAAGTAAACCCTACCCATAGGCCCCACGGTAGTTCCTTGTTGGAACTACCTTATAGAATTCTAAATATGATTTCCCAAAAGGAAGTACTATGGGGCCTATGGCCTATGGGCAAACCCTTATACAAACCGATTGTCGCGTTCGAGCTGCTTCTCTCTGCAAGGTTCCTGAGGTTCAAGGCATCAAGCAACGATTAGAAACCCCACACACCCCTGAACCCTATAAACCCTACCAGGACCCCGCAAGGGCCCTTTAATAGAGTCCGTATGGTCCTTAATAGTGGGTATTCAGGGTACATTTGAGGGTAGTTGGGGGGTCTAGGTGACACCGAAACCCCAAACCTTAAACCCCTAAAGCCCCAAACGCACCCTGAGCTGCAGCAGAAGCCACGCGGAACCAACTCACGTATCGGCTGATGTCCTCGTTGCCCTTGAATTCCGGCCTGAACGAGCATCTTAGGAATTAGGGCAACTTCTAGCTATTTTCGAGCACCCCTGAGCCCTAAACGCTGAACCTGAAACCCTAAGCCCAGTAAATTATGGATACTCTAGGATTTTTGGATAACAAAAAAGTGATCAAACAATCTATTTAATGAAGTATTCCTAATACCCTGAACCATAAACCCCTAAACCCTGAACCCCTAAACAAACCCTAAACCCCTAAACCCCAAACCCTGTAAGCCCTATGTATGCCCTCAGAGCCTCTTGAGCTCCACGAAGCGCTCGCCGCCAGCGGAGGCGCCGTAGTTGAAGAGCACGAGAACCGAGTCGGTTGAGCCAGCCATGGCCCGAAGCTTTCTGTTTTGAGGGTGGTAGGGTTTAGGGTTTAGGGGTTCTACTGGCTACCAGAACCCTCCTTGTACCCTCAAATGGGGGTATATGGTCGCAAATAAGGGGCATTTAGGGTCCATAGCGGGTAGATGGAGGGTCTAGGTATATAGGGGTTCTACAAGGGATCTAAGGTAATTAGTGTAGAGGTTACATAAGGGTTTAGGAGTTTAGGATTGTGACAGGGATCTTATAATTTGTTTAGGGTTTAAGGTTGAGCGCGAGATCTGCATTTGTTTGGGATGCAGGGTTTAGGCCACAGAGCGAATATACTGTCTGGGCTCAATGGATGCCTATTGCGGGTCTAGGGCTCTTTTCTGCTTGTCTGGTAGGTATCCATTGGGGTTTAAAATAATTTGAGCCAGATGTTGCGTCGAAGTGCCTAGAGTTTGTTCGAGACGAGTCGTGCGGCATCAGCAAGTACGTACACTGCCTGTGACAATTCCAACACGCATGAACCCTACTCAGAAACGGTTGTATAATACTTGAAACAATTATACACTGGGCCCAGAATAGTAGCTCGATTATAGACTGTTACTGAGAACCCAATAGAACCTGATGACGCAAGCAGGCCCCGGACAACTCCGAGACAGCAAAACGACGGCCGAAAACACAGCACGCAGACTTCATACCTGAACCACCAAGGCCTCCAAGCCTCAATCCCAAAAACTCAACAGCCAATGAAAACCCCCTGAACCCTCAACACAAAAAACACCTTCAAGACCGCCGAGTAGCCGCAGAAAAAGCACCATAGTGGATGAGATTCCGCACGTCTTTCAACTTAGATGCTTAGGGCTTTGGATGTGGTTCAGGGTCGAGGGCTTCGGCTTTTCGAGTGCAGTAGCGTGTAGGGTTTAGGGCTATGCTATGCAGAATATGTGTGTGTGTATATATATATATATATGGGAATTGCCGAAACTAGGGCCCGAATATAGAACCCTAAAGAGTAGGATCCTTGTCATAAGGACCCCAAAATAAGGTACCCGTAATTATCGGAAACTCCTGTGCAGCGCAACGAAGATATTCCCTGGTCTTTACAGGGCTTTGGATATGAAGCTTCCCCAAAGGGTCCAAGTATCGCTATATAGTATATACTTACACCCCTTAGGGTATAATAGGGTCGAGTCACGCCCTCCCCTGGTTCAGAGTACCTTGTTTTCTGGTTAGAACCGATGCATTATGCAGAGACAAAGATACCCCAAAAAAGGGTCGGGCATGACCCAAGAGGCAGGGTTTAGGAGCACCAAGGACCTAGGTCCCGGCAGAAACACAAGCTTCCCAGAGACTCCAAGACCCCTTAATTCAGGAATATTCCTTAAATCATATTAAGGATCCTACTATAATATAAGGTAAATTCCTTAATTAAGGGATATTGGGGTCTCTGGCTTTGACGTTAGATTGTAGGGACTGGAGCCCGATTCGCAAACTTAAAATCTCAAGGTCTAGAACTTTTTTATCTGAAGGTATACCTATAGTCTCCATTGTAGTTCCTTTTTTGGGTTGCCTTATAGGATCCTAACTATAAAATTGGTCTAAGCAAAAGATGGAACTACAATGGAGACTATAGGTAGTTCAGGATTTGGGGAATGGGGATCTCGTGGCGCATGTTGTTTCCTGCACTTCTTCAAGACGAACTGTCCTCAATCTTCAGTAGGCAATACGAAAACGTAAGACTTAAAACCTGAACGCAAACAACCCCTAGACCCTTACACCCCTAAGCCCTAAACCGATTGTCGGGTTACCCTAAACCCTAAACCCCTTGCTTCTCGCTCTAAGGGTCTTGAGGCTTACCGCTGGTAGGAGCCTTTTTTGCTTGCTTGAAACCTACCCTAAGGGTCCGAGTACCTAATTATCATACACTCACCCAAATAGTAGCCTACATAACTACTCTCCTAAACCTAAGTACCTAATAATTGGGTCCTTTTGACCAATCGGGCTAATGCTATTGGGTGCTTAAAGCTTTCGTTAAGGTGTCGGTGAAGGTTGGATGGCCGTACACTGGGCCTCCCCATTAGAACACAATCCCAGAGGGTATATACACTACTATTATGGAATTTGGTCCCCTAAAACATTAATGAGGATGGTTTTTGCGGACCTGATTCCAGAATATTCCCTAAGGGTCCATGTACCCAGATAGTGTATACTTTGGGCCCAATGTACCCATATAGGGAATACTTTAAGGCCAATGTATATACTATTTAGGTACATGTACCCTTAGGGATTAGTGTATATGGACCCTCTGGGAATGATCAGGATACCTTGAACATTTTCCTCTAATTCATGTCCAGCCCAAATCAGGACAAGCCCCCACGAAAAGAAAACAAAAAGTAAGGGTACTATTGGGGACATAGATGGTCTTTGACGTCGGTCATGGCCACTGTTGCAGATTTAGCGTTTAGGGGTACAGGCAAATGAACAACAAACCCCGTGGAAGTAAGGTTCAGAAGAGGTCGGCTGGACTGGAACATTGTAGACCAGGGCTTGATGCAGACGGGAAGCCCGAAATTGCATTTCGACGGCCGACTCCTTCTGCGCTCGAGGTGTATCCCTAAATGTACAGTGTGATAAAGCTCCAATGATGAGGTACTCGGGCCTAAGATAGTAATTAGTTGTGTAGGTTAGTATTTGAGAGAGTATATAGCTATTAGGTACGTAGTTGGACACTTAGGCAAACCTCCAACCCCTAAACCCCAACCCCTAAACCCTAGGGTCGTGAAGCGGGCATGGGGCAAGGTAGAAAGGCAAGTATCCGAAACCTCAGACTCACAAGAGTCCTGCAAACTACTGTTGAAGATATAAATCCTGCATTACCTTAAGGACCCTAAACTATGGGAATTATGGTATATTCCCTATTATGGGTAATGCAGGATTTATATCATCAACCGTATTTAAAAAAACTTGAAAGGAGTTGCGACAGAAGTTGCAAATGGAGGTTTCTTGCAAAGCATGCGGCTTTAGGGATTGGGGCCACAGGGGTTCAGGGTTTAGGATCTCAGGGTTGGGAATGGTGCTAGTCATATCAGGACTGCAAGGGGACACAGGAACGCTATATACTAGGTTCCCGAGTAACCCCTTGAAGATAACGGTATCCCTTTACCTAGTATTCACTGCTCACAAAGAAACGCGAAAACAACAAGGGCAAAAGGGCAGCACAGGGGCCCCTCGCCTATGAAACCACCCCAGATAACAAAAACCTAAGAATCATATCCTCTCCAAAAATCCTACCTACATAATCCTAGACCATATAGGTACTTTGGACCCTTTGAAAGGTGGGGCTCCAGGCCTTGCAAGGCTAAAGATCTGAGTAGGTGCAAACATGGGCTTTAAAATGGGGGGGTTTAAGGTTTAGGGTTTAGGGCTTATAAGTGAAGGTCCGAGTGTGCACTTCATAGGTGCATGAGCCCAAAACAACACCATAGTAGTCCCTACTACAAAGCCGTGATGCAACCGTGGAAAAGCTGTTGTATAGGTATATGGGCCCTTCGGAAACAATCTTGTTTTTGGATTCCCTGAGAAATTCCAGGCTTCGAAAGGATAGCATCTGTTTGTTTCTGGGTCTCTCCTATAGCTGCAATATATACCCGAAACCCCATTCTAAACTTAAGCCCGCCAGCTCAAGGGCGTTCAGGAAACCCGGGTTTCCTCTGCCCACTGGTTCAGCGCCGTTTCTGGAAGCTCCTAGCACATGAGGAGGGCACTTGGCGAGTCATACAGGGGCCTGGAGGATTCAGATAGGGTTCCGTTATGGTTTAGAGCTAAGGGTTTTTTGAAGAGGCCTCAAAAATCAGAATGGGCGTTGCCATAGTTACTTGCAGCACTACCTTTAGCCTTCCAATGACTGAGCTCCCTGATCCCGAAATTACCTCCTCAGCCACTCCGAGACCCTAAACCACCCTGAATACCATAAACTAAACAACACCATATATAACCCCTTCCAAATCCCTATAAACGCACTGACAAGATCCAAAGGACTTATAAAGCCCTAAAACCTAAACCCCGAAACCCTAAACCAGAACCTGGTTTCTCTGGCCGAAGGATTGCTACAGAGGAAGCCTGAAGGGATGCTTGTCTCGCTGATTCAAGGTTTAGGGAACTATAATGTAACACCCTAAACCTACCTGTGACCCCAAAACCTGCAGAATAGTAGGTTATGACCCGTTAATTAGAGGGTCGGACCCTTAAAAGGGTAGGTTTTTGGATCCCCAGGTAAACCCTGAACCCCCTAAACCCCTCACCCCCTAAACCGTAAGCCCTAACCCCCTCAACCCTAAACCCGTAAACCCTAAACCCAAATTAAACCCTAAACCCCTTAACCCTGAAACATAAATCGTATCTGGAATCTGGGGAAAAACCTCAGGAACATGTAAGCAAACCGACTCTGGCCTCATTGTGGTTCCGATACACAACTTTACCTAGAGGCTCATACCCTACCCCCTTTTTTGTAAGGTACCTAATAAGAGATCCTAACCATAAAACCAGGTATCCTAACCATAAAACTAGGTATCCTAACCATAAAAATAGGGACCCTAACCATAAAACTAGGTATCCTAACCATAAAACCAGGTATCCTAACCATAAAACTAGGTATCCAAAAAAAGAGGTTTGGTATGACCCTCTAGGTAGGGCCAGAGTATACCGGGAGCCCAAAGAACCTACGTACCTTTTTAGGGATCCTTATCTTCTAGGATACCCAGTAACCTAAGAAAAAAAAGGCCTCTCTTTTTGGTATTGGGTAACTTTATAAGGAACCTAGGACTAGAAAAAGGGAATAAGGGTACTACTGGGCATCCTAGTCTTTCTCCCGAAGGGTCCAAGTATCATTATGGTACATACTTATAGAGTATTTTGGGGGTCTAAGTATATACTATAGTGATACTTGGACCCTTTGGGTCTATAAGTCTGTAAAAGGGTAGGTTATCTGGACGCACGCCGTTCTTACGGATATTGACGTAGCATG